TTGTTTTTTATTTTGCTGATATTTTTACTGTTTCTTTACTGTGGTAACTCTTCCTCATTCTTTAAATCTTGTCCCTAAAGAGTCATTAATCTTTTTTTTTTTTTTTAACTCAGCTGAAGAATTTCACTTACAGATTTGTGTACTAAAACTATATCAAGATTTTGCTTCTCTGGAATAACTAGCACATAACTTTATGGTCTTTCACCAAAAGGATGGTGAAATGAGATATTCCTGTCTGAGAATTGACAGTATGCACTAAAGAACAAAAACGGAAACAAACTCACTGCCACAGAGTTGATATGAATTCCTAATGACTATATAGAACAGAGTAGACACAGTCACCCTTCAGGATGACTAAGTCACTAGGTCTGCCCCACATGAGATCTCCTTGGTCATAATTCTATCACAATTTTAAAAAAGACATACTAAAAGCACATGTATGATTATTGTTAATGAAAATTTGTATTTTTTAGTTATACTTTGGAAAAAGAAATGGATAAGGCAAAGACCATGAAAATAAATAGCCGCTAACTTGCAAATCACCTTCCCAGGGTCTGTGTCCAAGTCTCCGCCATTGCAGACCAACTCTCAGATGCCGAAGAAGACCTAACTGCAACCATGATTAACAATGAGTGCTTCAATCCGGTCACTGAATTTGGGGATGTCCCACTGGAGGAGGCCATGGTTATGGAATGAGAAGCTGTGACAGAGGTTTCCAGTTTGTTTTCTCATCTCTTCCAGACAGCTATCATTGTGGTCCTTGGACATCTTGCCAAGGAGCGTGATCTTCAGAAGGATGAAGTCTGCTATAACTGTGGTAGAGGTGGTTACATTGCTAAGGACTGCAAGGAGCCCAAGAGAGAGCTAGTGTTGCCACAACTGTGGCAAACCAAGCAATCTGGCACGTGATTGGGACTACACTGAAGAGAAATGTGCTGTTCTTGTGGAGAATTTGGATATATTCAAAAAGATTGCACCACAGTGAGGTATTAATTGTTGTTGTTAAGTGCCGTCAAGTCAGTTCCTACCCATAGCGACCCTATACAGGGTTTCCGAGGGTGTGAATCTTTACGGGAGTAGAAAGCCTCATCTTTCTCCCATGTAGTGGCTGGTAGTTTCTAACCACTGACCTTAAGGCTCGCAGCCCGATTCGTAACCACTACACTAGGGGTGGTGAAACTGGTCACATAGCCATCAACTGTGGCAAGTCAGGGCACCTTGCACAGGAATGCACAATTGATCCTACAGATTATTTTCCTTTGTTGCCCTTGCTTTTTCTGATTGACGGCTGTATTATTTTATCTGAATCCCCCTCACTGGCCAAAGTTGGCAGAGAAGGCTACACCCAGGCCAGTGAGCTTTACTAGCAATGTAGAAGAAGGAATGGGTGGGGCAGAAATTAACTTCCTGCACATAACTAGCAAAAAAAAAAAAAAAAGTTTATATTTAGTTTGGTAGAGTGTTATGCACAATGCTTTGTTAAAGAACCCCTTTCTGTGCCACTGTTGAATAAGGGATTAATTAATGGGAAGAGTGAGATCATTAAGCCCATTCTGAGTTTTTGAAATGTTCCTATGTCGGAGATAAAACCAATTCTGAAAGTGTCTATGAACTTTTGTAAGTAATGTTAGCATAATGAGGACCTTGGACAGTTTGACCTCAGTAGCTATTTAGCAGCAAGTAACTGCATCAGGACCGACATAGAATATACAGTTGAGTAGGAGTAAGCAAAGATACACATGCATGTTAATGAGTACGAGAGAGAAATACCAGGATAAAAGTCTATATAAAAGAACAACTTCATCACAGAGTTAATGCTGTATATACACATGGTGATGGAAAGATTTAGAACACATTTTTTTTTTCAAATACTAAATCTAAATCCCAAAGTAAACATCAGTGCTTAGAGTTAGCGTAATTTGGAGCTATTCAGGAATTGCAAAGAAATGCATAGTCACAGAAATCAAGATGTTGTTTTTGTAGGCTATCTTACTTAGACAAATTTGTTTTGTTTGCTGCAATCAGTTTCTAAAAGTCAGATTGAAAAAGAAACTGAAGTCATAGAAAATAGAAATGTAATTTTAAACTATCCAGTAAAACTGGAGGAGAAAGGGGGTGGAAACAGAGAAAGAGAAATGAATAAAAATTAAATGATCAAGTAAAAAATTAAAAAGCAAAACAATCCTCTTCCCTGTATGAATACCCTAAGAGACAATCTTTAGCTATATGCTATACCTAATGCTACTCTCCTAATATTCACATTGGGTGCTCTATAATTATTGCAGGATAAGACACATAACCTAACTGTGAACGAAGTATTAGGCTAGATTTTTTTCAGAATCCATTTGTGGAGTAACTAAGGACTTTCCAAAAAGCCTCACCCACATGCTTACTTCCTGACTCAGTAAAAACAACAATTAACTTCACAGGACATACTTGGGCTTTCAATTTCGTTTTCCTTTTGAGATTTAACCAGGAGGCTATAATATCAGCCTTGTTTTTAGTTTCTGAAAAGAACAGTTCCTTGTTTAAGAAGGAGAAGTGACAAAGGGTGACCAAAGACCGCTGAGACATTATCACTGGCTTCCTGACACTTCCCCAGGTAAGTAAGTTCTTTCAGAAACTTTGTATTTATAGGGTACAATTCATCACCGCTCTCTCTAATCCACTATGAAAAACAACTAAGAGCCAAGGAAAGCTGAGAAATCATCACTGGCCTCCTGATTGCACCCCAGGAAAGATCTTTCAGAAACTTTGTATTCTGTTCATATTTCTGGTAAATAATTAATGATAGCATATTCCCAGCTCAGACTCCATGGTGGCCAGTGGGCAAAGGCAGAGGGAGGAGGCACAGTAGCTGGAGATACTGGCCAATGGCTCTTTTTCCAGGCAACTCAAGTGTCTTTATTTAGACCAGAGGCAGTTGTACAGATTCAGCATGCAGAAGTGTACCCAGAATTCATTGCTTCTTTTCCAACATTCACTCTGGACTACATCTAGCAAAGAGCCCTAGATGGAAGATGGAAGAATGCATCTTCATCTTCAGAAAGGGGGTTGAAGGACTTTCTCAAATGAGATATATAATTTCAACCCCCTTAGTAGATACTGCTGTGAATTCATAACCTCCTTCTTTTAACCTGCTTCCATGCACTGGAGAAAAGGACAAAGAAAATGTAAATCCTAAAAGATTGTTTCAGGCTTATTTGTGTATTAATCATATTTTATATTCCAAAAATCATGCAAAGTTGTATTTATATGGTATAGTTCATCATCATTCTCATAAAAGTCATCAGGATAACCTATATACTTTTTGAAAATACAGTTCTTGATCCATCCTCACAATTATTCCTGTGTTTGAGCTTATTGATATAGCCACTATGTCAATGAATCTTCTTGATGGTATTTTTTTTTTCACTGACCCTCTTCTTTACCAAGTGTGATGGTCTTCCTCTTAATGTGGAAGGATTGGTCCTTCCTCTTAATGTGGTCCAAACTAAATGAGACAAAGTCTTGTCATCCTGGCTTCTAAGAAGCTTCCTTGCTGTACTTCTTCCAAAACAGATTTGTTTGTTCTTCTGGGTGCTTATGGTATATTCAGTATTCTCTGCCAAATCACAATTTAAATGTGCAAATTCTTTTTATTTAAGTTTTTATTGTTAATTGAGTTATAGTTTATATTGGGGAACATCGGTTTTACACTCATCATTTCATTGCATTTCATCTCCTCTGTGCATCATCATTCAACAATATTTCTTTCTATTACCTCAGGGTATTTTTATTTGTTTGTTTGTTTTTTCTTTTTTTCTTGCAGGGCAGGATGTACACAAAAGCACTCAGGGATATATATTCATTTAAACAACCAAAGGGCACATTCTGCAAGCCTGCCTCCTGATTTCTAGTATGCAGCTTTTCTCTTTCCATGAGTCTTGAGTCCTCAGCTGCTCTATTTCTCCATGTCCTCATGTTTTCCTCCATCACTGGTATCACTGCTTCTTGGGATAGAGTCCCACATTCCACTAGTGCTCTTCTCCCTGATGATCCCAGGGTCCTCTTTTCCTGGATTGTAAAAATAACTACTCTTATCTTTTTGTTACAAAACTTCTACCTTTACAGTGTGACAGTCACAATTAATCATAATAACAATTATTCACTAGTGAATCATAAGAATCTTATCCCCATCTCCTTTCATCAGACCCATCTA